CTCATTACCCAAAGTAGACATTACCAAATTATTTCATTCTCCTGAGGAAGAGGCAGGAGCAAATTGCTTAGAAGAGTGGGAGAAAGCAGAACTCACTGCAAGTCCACTTGTTGAAACACTTAAGCTTTTTTTTCTTCTTCTTTACTTTAATGCCACTTAAAACCGGTATTCCTGACCAGTATTAACACTGAGTACTTTGACTGCTGGAAGAAAACTTCAGCTTCCTAACTGAGGATCATCACATGAGGACGTATCTCGGGTGACACCCTACCCAGCGCCAGGGTGATGTGTCGGGTGCAGGGTTACATCAGCAGCAGGCTTTCCGACAGCCTCTGCCTGCACATGGCACACAGGCTGCATGTGATGCGGGTGGAGGGACCCAGCGGTTCTCCTCGGGGCAGCTCTGCTGGATACCACTTGACTTTTCTTCTGACACCTTGTCCCCAGGACGGCCAAGGCAGAAAAGTACCAGCTGTACCAGTCTTAGGGCAGCATCTGCTGGTTATTGCATGGATCAACATAGATGGTTGTCATGGAAGAGGCTGCTTGCTTTGGCTCCCAGGCAAAAGTACCTGGGACTCGGGGGGCGGGAGAAACAGGAGCTTTGGAGAGAAATGACCCGTAAATGTAATTCCAGCAGCCAGTCAGGAGAGAACGGGAGCGGACAAGGAGCTTCTCCGTCTTGCTTTCTTTTTTTTTCTTTTTTTTTTTTTTTTTTTTTTTTCTTATGAGAGGCAGCACCCACAAACTTTGGCAAGTGCAGGTTGGGTTGACTGCAATTCGCCTTCAAAGGCAAACAAACCCGCCCCAGCACCTCCCACACCCCTTCCTGCACCTGCTCCCCGCGGGGCTCTCCGGGCCGGGGAGGCGGGGCAGCCACTGAGAATAAACCCGAAATACGAAGACAAAATGGGGACGAGGACTTTGTGAGCCTTGGCAGGAGTGATCCCGGGGCTCGGGGAAAGAGACTGCAGTTGCGCCCAGGTGTGCGGGTGTTCTCACAACGTAAGCGGACAGGAATTGACTTAGCGATAGAAATCACGGGCGGAGCCGGGGCGCTGCTGGGGCCCCGAGGGGAGAAGGGGAGAAGGGGAGAAGGGGGAAGCCAAGGCAGATGCCGGGGATGCGCTCCGCTCCTCCGCTCTGCCTCGCCGGCCGCAGGGGCTCAGCGCGGGGCCGGGGGAGCCGCTCACCCCCGGGATGCGCCTCCCGGGGAGGGTGGAGGGGAAGGAAAAGTGTGCGGGGAAGTTGCAGCTCGGGAAAGGCAGGGATTTCCGAAAGGAACTCGTCCTGGCAACTGTGCCATGCTCCTCTTGTGGCAGGACCTAGTATGCAACAAGTCCTCGGAGCACTTCCCGTGAGAGCGCAGTGAACGTGGCATTAAAACAAACAAACAAACAAACAAACAAACAAACAAACCAAGCCCCCAAACGCTTACTTACCTGTCCCGAACGTAAATCTCCAGAGCCGGCTCGCCTTGCCCGGCCCCAGGTGCGAGCAGGGCGGTGGAAGGAGGGCGGTGGGAGTCGGGGCTCACCGCACAGTGCGCCCGCCCGGCCAGCACTTTCCTCGGGAACTTTGTGTCCCGCTCCGGTTTCCTGGGAGGCGGCTGCGATCACGTTTTATACTGTATTGGTTGGTAACCCCTCTCATTCATTAAGATCACGTAAGAACTCGGAGGGAAACGTGACTCTGAGCTAAGGCGTTTGCGTAAATCTATAGGTTTTTAAAACTCCCTGCCAGTTGCTTTCTGTCTTCTGTAGGCACCAAGGTGGTGGAGAGTTTAAGCTTGCGGATATTGCAAAGGGTTATTAGATTCATAAGTCACACCAAGTGGTGGGCGATCCACTGAGCAAAGCAGAAGTTCTCACATGATGACTTCAAACAAGACACATTACCTTCCAGCATCTGTTGGAGAGACTGGATTTTAAACCACTTCTGTCTCCAGGACAGCAGAGAAACAATGGTGAGTACCTCCAAAAAAAAAAAAAAAAAGCTTATTTTTTTAATACCCGGAGAGAAGAACAAAACAACTACAACAAAAAGCTCGAGATGTTGCTTAACGACAGTATCTAATATCACGGGCTCGGCTTTCTAGTACTTAATACGCCAAAGAGCGTAACCCGCCGAGGCCGGGAGAATTGTGTTTTAGACGGTGTAACTTTAATTGCGACGCTCTTTGATTTAGGGCTGCGATGGAAACAGCGCGTCTGAGAGAGAAACTTGGAGCTGTGGCGGCCGGGCTGCTGCCGGGCGCTCGCCTCTCCTCCCCGGCTGCCTCCTGCCCTCTCCCTCGGCGGGCACAGGAGGCGCCTGACGCCTCCCGTCGGGGGGGCTGGAG